CAAAGATTTCTCTTCAGACCCTTATCGGTATGTCCAAAATTTTTCAAGTGTTACACTGGATAAATTACATTTAGAAGCACTATCAAGGGGTCTTAAATTTTATGACCAAGGATATAAGATTAACTACTCTATACCAATATCCATTTCAAAAACTCCTCCTACAAACAAAAGATCTGATCCCATTGTCAGACGATGAAGTTGCTAGGTTTAAAACTACACTGGTCGACGTTTGTCAGCAGTATAAAAACAGTAGTCATACTGGTAAAAGCTTGCTGACTAAACAGCATCGGGAAGCCCTAAGAAATTTAAGGAACAACGAAAAAATTATAATCAGTAGGCCTGATAAAGGAGTCTTAGTAGTACGGATGAATAAGTGTTGACAAAATGAATTCTCTTCTCACGGATGGAGCGAAATTCCAAAAGCTCAACAACCCAAGAGACCTAGACGGAAAGGCTGAAAATCAGGTAACAAGCACACATAATGAACTGAGAAAAGTGGAGTAATCTCATCCTACAACCGTCTTAAACTTACTGGAAGTAATACTTCACGTTTGTACAGTCTGCCTAAAGTACATAAACCAGGAATTCCTCTTCGCCCAGTCCTAGACATGTCTAATTCCTCCAACTATGGAGTAGCAAAGTGGCTAGGTGAACTCCTCCAATCATAGTTTTAAAGACGTTTTTGAATTCATTTCTTACGTACATGATATTAATGTAAATGAGAAGCAAATGCTATCCTTAGATGTCGCATCACTGTTCACCAATATACCACTTATGGAGACTGTGGAATTCATATCCCAACAGATACTAGATATGTAGTTCGACATCGGAATTCCAGTTATTAGTCTGAAAGAGTTACTTCCAAGATGTACTATGAATGTACACTTCACATTCAACAACCTTTATTACAGACAAATCAACAGTATTGCCATGCGTTCTCCATTGGGTCTAATTTTGGCAGATTTCTTTTTCGCTAAGCTTGAAAATGGTCCATTAAAACAAGTAATAGATAAAACTGATTCTTATTTTCGTTATGTTGATGATACGTTTATTATTCTTGATGTGAAAGCTGACAAGAATGAAATGTTAATAAAATTTAATGATACACATCCATCGCTCATCTTCACCTGTGAAGAAGAACGTGATGGTAGACTACACTTTCTTGATGTTCAATTTAGCAGAAGAGAGGATGGTTCACTCAAGACGGATGTCTATAGAAAACCTACACCTGTAGGACAAATATACACATTTCCTCAGTTTTGTACCAATCCGATACAAAATCATTTTGGTCAAATGCCTGGCGAATAGAGCAAGACCGATCTGTACAGATGACTCCCTAGAAAATGAATTAGGATACATCCGAAATACGCTGGTCCAAATGGGTTATCCTAGTAGAGACACATGAACACCGGGTACAATAAAGAGAAACTGACAACAGTTAAAAAGAAACAACTGTTCATTAAATTGCGATTTAATGGGTACGTGGCTAGTGAAGTCTTACATCTGAGATTACCGAGAGCAATAAAACAGACTTATACTGCCGCCACCCTTTGTTTGCCATTTTCCAGCCGACCAGTTATGATTGCTCAAGCGAAAGACAATCAAACTATCTGTGCCACTTCTATGTGTATCTACAAATTTAGTTGCTATTGTGGAGAGAGCTATATAGGGCGAACAACTAGACAGCTTAACAAACGCATTAATGAGCATCTTCCTTCATAGTTCGGAAAAGGTCAAATAAAATCCATAAGAAGTTCTATTTTGGCTCATTTGATTGATAGCGCTCACCAAGTGGACAGAAATAATGCCTTCAAAATTATCTATCGCATTCCATCGAACCTTTCGAACGGAATTCGAACCCGTCTTTTACACAAAGCCGAAGCTATGGGAATTCGAGAGAACAATCGTTATCTTTGCATACAAAAGAAGTTTGTTCTACCTTTGTCTCCAATTCCTTCATACTTTATGATATTTATTTAAACTCTGATTATTTTTCCACTTCACCTTTAGTATTCCGTAACTTTTAAGATTTGACCTAATTTATTTATTGAATTGTCTACATATACACATGTTACTAACTTTGTTATTTTTATCGCCACCTGCATAAACTTTTATCAATATTTTGTTATCATTATAATCATCGTTATTAATGACGTTCAAAATATTTACCACATTATTATTACTACTACTATTATCATTATTATTATTTGATTCACAGAATCACCGTCATTGGTTAAAATTTTCATATATAAATCTATGTAAATTAGAGCAAAGCCTGAAGAAGATGGAATTGAAAACAATATTCTTCGCTTATATGTCTTGTTCTAATACTAAAACCTCGTATGTCTAGATGACGGAACCACTTCTAACAGCATTAATATATTAAACTAAATATTGTCGTTAATATATCTTCAAATTTTTCGTCGTTAATCAGTGTCCGAATTTAGCTTACTGAGCAACTATTTAGAATAAGGCCGTACTATATTTTGAGCGAAGGACAGGGAATGCACCATGCGGAAGTGTTGTCAGGGCTCTTTTTATACTCAGAGTTACTTTCAGCTTTTTAAAATCTTGTCAAACTGGTTTATCCACTACTTATTTTTAATTGCAGTCTTATCTTTTGATGATGCGTATACTTATAAAGCATTTAACGTCCTGAAACAGATAGGTAGCGAAACCTGGTGTGCTGCAGTCTTTTGAAGATATTGGACCTTTGTTGATATTAGCATGAGATTTTCAGCCTCAGCCTTTCAGAAATTTTAGAGTGAATGATTTATTTGCAGACATTTATAATATGAACTCAATAGTTGCAGGTAAACTGGTGTTATCCTAACATTTAGATGAATTCACATTCATGTTCTTCTCTTCTCTATTCACATGATAACTGGACGATTGTTGCCTTTTGATTTGAGGCTTTTGAGCAATATACATCGTGTGATTTGTCTTTTGTATTTGTAGATAATTAGTTACATTTAAGGTGCTAAGTTACATAGGAGAAATCTAAAGGAATTTTGTTTTCCTTGGACTGTAATTATATTTGTCTCTCTGTGTGTGGAACTCGCGCTAATACCTGAACGTAGCAGTATACTCTAACTTCCTACTCTGTCCGCACCACTGAATAATTAGGACCATATTGTTTCTGTGTTCAGTATATTGAATCCCTGGTTCTTGGTGCTGTGAAAGTATCTACGTAATGTTTTATCTCATGAGCTTCTCGTATTTTAAGGGGAGTATGACATGTATAACAAAAGGGTAAGCTTATACATCAACTTACTCTACAATTTATGTTGGTGAAAAAGTAGCTCTTCTCAGTGAGAGTGGAACAGGACTATCCTGATTGAGTTTTATCACATAATAGGTTACTTGATGACATTTTAAACGGAAATCACTTCTGATGATCGTTTAAAGGTACTCACACAACTTTCTTATTTTACTCCTGCTACAGACAGCATTCTACGGGTTATATAACTCCATTATCAGCCAATTGGTGTAATTCAGGAACGTTATTCATCCTATGTTCTATTATGCTGGCTATTATTTTTATCACTGTTCTATGGCATTGTCAGGCATTACTGGTAACTCCCCAAAACTTGTTTTATAAGTGATTTTTCTGAAAGAAGGCCTTGATGTAACTTCTACTAGTAGAAGACTATAAAATGGTGACACCATGTTTCTTATTACTCTTCCTTTTCTTTACCTCACTCCGAAAATCCGAAATTTCCCCCTATGTTTAATATTCCTATTTCCAAATCATTTCTATACTTTGCGTATTGCATGAGATTAATTTACTAATTAACGGACTTCATCATTTCCATATCTGATATGCAGTTTAACATATATTTTTCCTAAGTGACACTAGCCTCTAAATCTTAACACTTTCTATGCTGCTTCCAAGTGGCTGTCTAAATATGCAACTTTGATGAGAGTTTATGAAAACACTCTTCAATTAAGTTTGTTAGTCGAATCAGAACTGTTTGTAAACACTTTTAAACTTTGGAATCTTTTCTCAGATGGAAATTGCTTGCAGTTGTTTTTGTAATTCTTAGTCATTTTATGCATGTATAATCTGTTAGACTGTGAACCTATTGGAAATATTTATTGATTTTGAACTGAGTAATCAGGACTCAGTTTGCGAGAACAGGTATTTGTTATACCAGTCTATGAGCTGCAATTACCTCCATAAATGACCTGGTGCGGTTGAGGGTGGTTAAACTTTGGTTTTCCTCTCTTAATGTTCCCATGTGGCTACGCATCGATAGCCTCTGCCAGGGAAGTCCTATTCCTCGCCTTCACGCGGCATGGGTGTCCCTCAAAAGAGTGAAAGGGAAGATGCGAACGTCTTGTGCTTAAAACCGGACTGGTGAACATGTTCGTCTATACAGGGGGGGGGGGGCTGGAACACCCTGATTCAAAACCAAAGGTGTATATGGGATTCAGAGTCTGAATGGATCAAATGGAATATGAACCTGTTTCGGTAACTTGCAGCTATGGGAACTCAGCTTCTGACGCTGTTTCACTGCCTTGTGGATCAGACTTCAAGTCAAAGGCTGTGCGGGTGGTGAGCCTTTAGGACAACCGCCTGCTTCCGTCTGGGCGCCCGGGCCGTTTCCCAGTCCTTGCACAAACTATGAAGCAACAATTTATTGTTTTATTTTTTGTGATGCATCTCTTGATGCACATAACTTACCAAGTATATCGTTTAATAATTATTTTTTATGAGCCACAATTTTTTCATGTGAACTGATAACACTGGCCATTTGTCAAGTCTAAATTAGGTGGACTGTGATTAGAATTCGCGACCGGCTGTCTAAAAATCCTGCGTTAAACTCAATGAACCACATCTACTATTCATTGTCTTCGTACTTACGTGGTAAGCATTCCACACGTTATTTTTGTAACTTTATATTTATTTGCTCTTATTTTCCACATTTTAGATATCGCAAATCTCTTTTTGGTCTTTAAAGTAATGCTGATTTGTAAAAGTTAACAAACAAAACTAAATGGTCAACGACAATAAGCCACTTGATGACAAGGTCATCATATCACGTCGTACGTTGAACACATTCGGCGGTGTTTTCTGCTCAGTTACTTTATCCCAGTTCAGTAGTGTTATATTTCTACGCTTAGGTAGGTGAATTTTTTTTAGAACAAATGTAATCTTATTTCATTTTCAGGGTTTGTTGTTGCTCATGCTGGTCTACTGGAGAGTATATTACAACTGTGTCTTTCGTATCTAATCTTGTTGCTGACGGTATTTTCTATATGCGCAATTAGTACAAATGGAGCAGTTGAAGGAGGAGGTGTATATTGTATCCTTTGTGTATAATGTTTATAAATGCTGAGGAGTTAGTTTTCTGTTCTAGGTGCTAACTATCTCAAGATACATTTCTTATAAACTATGCTACTTACTTTATAAACACATTGTGTTGTTGTGCTGTAGAATACATTCACTACTTGACTCTGTTGGAATTAGCTGTATGTGTGTGTGTGTGTGTGTCTTCATCTTTCATTATGAAAATTTACCATTCTCCATTAAATTATTCTCTGTTCCATAGTCTTTGTTTAGCGTAATGTTGTTAAGTTTATCTCCTCTTTTATGCTTTTTGTGGTGTGGCAACGTAGATTGCCGTGGTTCGGCTTAAAGTCCTACGTCGACTTGTCTGTAAGTCAGTCTCTGTGTGATAGTATTATTATTATTATTGTATCCTTTAATTCCATTGCGTTCGGTTCTCTGCTAGAGTCTTCACCTGGCTCCATGTCTGCCCACACGTTTTCATCTCCTCTTCACATGACCTCCTCCAAGTCACCCTCGCACTGACGACCAACTCGCCGCTTCCCTTTCGGGTTCCACTCGAGGGCTTGTCTAGTGATGTCACTTGATGGCTTCCTCAGAGTATGGCCAATCCATCTCCATTTCTTCCTGCCTATTTGTTTCACAATCGGTTCCTGGTTGGTTCGCTCATTGCCAGAGATCTCTGTCGCTGATCTTTTCTGGCCATCTGATCTTGAGTATTGAGCGAAGACAACTGTCAATGAAGGTCTGTAGTTTGTTTGAGATGCTCTTTGTGACGCGCAGTGCAAGTCTCTGATCCGTATAGTAGCACTGACTGACTTCACATTGGAGTTGAAAATCCGGATGTTATTTTTGATGCTGAGTGTTGTTGACCTCCACACAGACTTGAGAGTAGTGAAAGCTTGTCTTGCTTTTCCGATTCTTGCTTTGATATCCTCGTCAGTTCCGTCCGCCTGTAGTTGAAACGATGCTTCCCAGGTAGGTAAAAGAGGTTGTTTCTTTCAGATTCCTCCCATTTATGCTGATTGTTGTCTGTTGTTGTTGTTGCTGCTGTTGGTGTTGGCCAGGAATCTTCATCACCTCTGTTTTCTCTATGTCCACCTGAAGTCCTATCTTTGATGCTTCTTCTGCCAACTTGTTGCTTTTCGCTTGCATATCTTCCAGTTTGTGGGAAATCAGACATATATCATCGACGAAGTCCAGATCCTCCAAGATTTTTGTGTGGGTCCATTTTATGCCTGTTTCCTCATTGCCCGCTGTTTGTCGCATTATCCAGTCTACTGCAATCAGGAAAATCATTGGCGACAGTAGGCAGCCAGCTTGTCTTACTCCTGTCCTCACTTCGAAGGGTTCCGTAAGTTTCCCATTGTGGATTACTTGGCATGCAGCATTGTCGTACAGCTGTTGGATGAGATGTATAATTGTCAGTGGCACCCCGTAGTAGCGAAGTAGTTTCCAAATCACCTATCGATCGACGCTGTCGAAGGCCTTTTCAAAGTCGATGAAGTTGAGATAGAGAGGTGACTGCCATTCCAGGCTTTATTCAATGATGATCCGTAATGTGGCGATTTGATCAATACATGACTTGTTTCTCCTGAATCCAGCCTGTTCCGGTCGAAGTTTTCATCCAGGGCATGTTTGATTCTCTCCAGGATGATGTGGCTTAGTATTTTGCTTGGGATGGACAGGAGCATAATTCCGCGCCAGTCGAAGAAATGACATATCCGCTTGTGTAAAAAGTAATAATAATAATAGTGATAGTAATGACTTTATTCTCAACAATATATCTGATAAGAAGGTATCAAGATGGATGTTCACTAAGAAAACCCTTAAACTTAGTTTTAGGCATTAGGTTACTTACTATACGCTCTTGTTGGCTCGAATCGATCGTACACTAATGATCACTTTGTATATCTGATCAACCGATTTCCATCGACACTTAGGTTTAGACAGTTACCATTCACTGACCAAATTGTACTTTTTAGTATTTGACTAAAGCTGAATAGAAAAGAGGAATCAAATAATGATCTTTGAGTGCTTTGGTTCCCGTTTTGTTCAACTAGGACATAATTTTTTTGTACCACCTGACATTTACTTCTTTACTCATTTCTCTAACACATTACTCAATGCAGTTTTGATTTCATTGTTATTACGTGGTTTGAGGCAATCCTCGGAAAGCCCTACCTAACCCCTAGGTCTAGTGCTTGTCGCCACTCGTCAGCACGGCGTATCTGCAACCTGTTGCAGTCAGAGAAAAGTCACCATGATTGACCTCCTGTGGGATTGTATTAGATACTTTGATCAAATACTAGGTAGTTAGGTGAGCCACCTAGATTGGTAGCAGCCATATTACAAAACTGACTGATAGAATTAAGTCTGCAGTGAACAAAGGACTAGACGTATGACACTAGTCACTGACTGCCCAATTTTCAATGGAAGTTTTGATTTCTTTGTGTAAATATGAATTTGGTGTTGGTTTCTCCAGTTTGCATTTTTTGCTTGTTTTTATTTATGTTTATTTGTTTATGTGTACGTATGTGACCTATCTAGGACGCTGACAACTGTCATACATCACATGATGACTGAATGCATCATTATTTATTTATTGTAGCAAGTAATACACTAACTAACACTAACTATTGATCTGTAAGCTAGTTTAATGTGAATTAAGAATCGATGCCATCATCAATGTTACGTAGTTTATCTATATTTTATAATTTTGGGGAATTTTGTTGAAAGGCAATTAAAATTATGCCATAAATGGTGTATTCTCAAGCCAACCTGTATACAAATTTGTTTTCTCTATGTCAGTATGTCTCCTATTCACATTTTTATGCGTATTTCTGCACTTTTCACTCCACATTCAATTCTCTCTTTTTTTTAGTAAAACAGTATGTCTTGTCTTCTATCTGGGGAGTAGTGATATTAGCCTACTACTCCAAAATAAGCTGCTAAACTTAGCCTGTCTGACTTAGTAATTCACGGAATAAAAAGACCTAAGTATAGACCACTAAATCATCACATGTTTGATTATCCTACTTTTTTGGTGTTGGTTGGTTACTGTTGCTATTTCACATTTAGTTTTTATGTCAAATAGCAAAAATGCACTAAATGTGGTATTAACACGTCAATCAATCAATCAGATCAGTCATTGAATTCTGACTGATAAGGAAAGAAAGAGCCACTGTTAATTTTCTTCAAAAGTCTGGCAAGGACTTTTGTGATTAACTTCTGTCTTCTTTACTTGTACGAAAAGACTGAGAACATGAAGAAAAATAATATGCTTCGAGGGATTTTTACTCAACAACGAATTCATTAAATGACGGTTATTTCTAGATAGGTAAAAGTTGTTTGCACACTAAACAGAGTTTCGGTCACCTGATATCTGTGTAAACCGTCCCAGTGTAACGGAAGAAGACAAGAGACTTGGTAGCGGAGTATTTCTTTGCAATTTGATATCTTTATATAGCGAAACTATGTACACCTCATCTGAAAATCGTCGTTTGCACAGATCTGCTACTTCTGCCCTTTGTATTGTGGTTCTTTGTCTTCTTTTCGTGTCTCCCATGTTTTGCCGCAACTCTGGTTTCATATGCTCACTTTGAGACCAACTCTATATCTCCGCTACTTGACTTTTTTTTATGCCGATGAGCGTCTCTTTTTATTTACTACTGATAAATCTTATCAGTAGCATACGTGTGTCACCTGTGCATGATGTAAAATTTTCAGTGGGTAAAGAACAAAAAAAAATACTATTCACCATTTTTCATACCCTATATTGGTTGTGTATCGCTAAATTCTTTAATGAAAAACAAAAACATAACAAAATAACAACCAGTCATGATCAGTAGAACTCTTGGTCCAGAATTCGGTGGGGCTATTGGATCCATATTTTTCTTGGCACAAGTTTGCAGTGCAGCATTGTATATATCTGGATTAGTGGAGGCTGTATTAATTAATTTCGGTCCTGGAGGTAAGTGAATTAATTCACTGGTAAAACATTTTGTTAACAGGCACTTATTTATCTGTATTTATACATCCGGGATATAATCCCATTTAATTAAAATCACTGAGCACAGTTTTTCTATTTAATTTCGCGTTATAAAAGAAGCATTTTGTCTGCATTAAATACTAATCAGTACTTCAGTGATGCTGTTTGTTGGAGAAACAATCAACCTTCTCATATTGAAATAGTTATTTTGATTCTTTGGAAGGCAGCTAACTAGAGTTGTATGATGCGGAACTATATCCATACCAGAGTGTGATGTTTGAAGGGTCAATCCAAAGGTTTATGTTAGTTTTTATTATTTTTTAATTCCCTTTTTAAAAAAATATTATTCTGCTATAGAAATAATACGAGTTTTCACGTGATTAAGTGTTGACAATACGAGTTTGTAAAGCACCTTTGGATTTTTTTTTGAAAATTGTTATTGTTTTACATAAATGCTAAGAATACACTATGCATTTGCTAGTAAGGTTGTTACAATCAATGTACCAGCTCTTGCACTTGAATATTAAAGATATTAACAGCATAATTCTTAGTAATGGTTACTGGATTATGCTAGGAATTACGAGTAGAGATGTGTCTCATTTACTTAGGCACTTGGCTTTCAGCAAGTGGGTTCCGGGTAACCAATATCATATCATAAACTTCCAAGTATTGGTTTTGTAGGGATTTTGTTTGATTGCATGGAGGATTTCATCATGAGCTGATATCAGTTAGAGAACCACTGGAAAACCTGGGAGTACTGGACAGCTGTTTCGTCCTAGTTTGGAACTCTTCAACAGTACGCGCCCACCGGGATTCGAATCCAGGACCTTCTGGTTACAAGGCGAGCTCGTAGACCATTGAGCCACTGGGACCCGATCCAATGGTCCTTGAATTCTAACTTCTGTCAATTCACGAAATAACGCGACCATTTCGCAATGTCTTCTTCGATGAGTTACTGCCTCATCATAAACCTCAGTCTTAGGGACTGGATAGCATTATTAAGCCTCACACTAATTCTGTGGTTCATAGCTTCATACTTAATGATATGTTTCCGTTCACTGAGTTCAAACAACTAGTATGATTGCGGGTCAATTCGAAGTTTCTTGCTCCACATTAAAATGTCCAAGCAGAGGTCACTTTTTATCTGCATGAATACAAACTTGATGCAGTAAGGACACCGACAACCAGTGATTCAGATTTTCTCTTGTTGCGGGCGGAGGGGTAACCCACAAACACCTAACACAACTAGCCTTCATTGTATGACTTGACATCATGGTTTGATGACGCCAGCGCTTTCTCCACTCAGTGTCAGGGCTAGCTAACTTTGGAGGTTATGGGTTGTATAAGATGTTTCCTCTAACACGTGTATTAAACTGTCAGAAGTGGACTATTAGGATTGAATATAAGCGTAAACTTTACATCTACAAGTAGTACTCGATGTCAGTGGTGTTGTAATGCAGTCTAAATGTCAATGCAGTGGATTGTTGTATGGTTGATAGTCTGTCAGTCGGTCATCACTGCTAACTAATCTTTCATGCCAACCAATCTACGCAGTCAAAAAGTGTTACACCTTCAGTAGATTGCTTCCATCTATCTAACTAGCTCTCTCTCTCTCTGTGTCGTCAAGGGAGACTTAGCTTGCGATATCCTTAGGAGGAGAATTTCAGCATCTTTGAGAAGAACATTCTTCGCAGCAACGCTAAGAGTAGTGTTTTCCAGTCGTCCATCGGTATGCAGGAGCCTTAAGAGGAAGATCTTGCATCTGACCACTTCTATGTGCTATATCAAACTGTCGTGGAGTCAGGTGCATTGGTCGTTCGACGCGTATCCTGTCCAAAAGGATTCGAGAACACTATCCCGCGTGGCTACGAAAGGGTACTAGTGGCTGTATAAGGAGTGCGATCATCGAACACCTTGTCAACGCTAACCATTCCTTCTCTCTTTTTCTGTCTTATTATAAAACGGTCCGATGAAACAGATCTCAGTGTGCACAGTAACCGATTGTCCTAGTTATTCCTATGCACACTGCAGTAATCACTTATTAACTCCTCCTTAAGGTTCACATGCAAAGGTGAGCAGAGATACTCACTCTTGCCAATTTTGTAACGATGCTCTGTACTTAGATGGCACAAAGGCACATACTTACAAACAATCATTACCAACTGATTAAGTGGGATTCAGGTAGCTTGAATGTTATCGCACAGTAATATGCGATCATTTGCTGCATATTCAGGGTCAAAATGTTTTTCTTCATGCAGCCGATCTACGGAACTACGTGCATCCATCAAATATGTCTGCAGAATTTCATCGATGGTGGAGGTAATAAGAATTGGTGAGATTGAGCAACTCTGTCTAGTTCTACTGTTAGTTTAGAACAGTAGTGATTGCTGGTTGTATGTTCTCACTCTACGTGTTTGCCCAAAGAAATGTTGGAATTATTTATACCAGTATCGCTGAGATTTATATACATAGTTTTTACATATAAAGTAAAGTGATTTCTGTATAAAAATAAAAATGAAGGACCAACCAAACCACTGGATATACAATACGCGAAGTATTTGTATGAGTGTTTAAATACAAATAAAGTTTTCCACTAATTATTGTTTTACGACAGGTCTGTCAGAGCTGAGATACTACCGGGGCGGCTGAAGCGAAGTAGGTGGGGTTGTCTTAAAAGACCAGTTCGCGAGTCTTTTACGTGAGGTCCGATCCATGAGGCAGCAAAGCAGAGTCAACGGTGGGGTCCCTAAGATTATTGATGACCGAAACAGGTCCGTACGCCATTTGTTCCTTTCAGACTACGGAGTCTATGTACGCACTATACCTTTGGAGTCAGGGTTTTCCAACTCCCTTAGATTGACTTCCATATCCACCAATCCAATGATGAGCGTGAAACATTTGTGTTAGTCCTTTTACTTTTGTGATAACATCCCTGTGTGCTTTAAGGCAGTGAAAAAAACTTTCCTTGTAAAGGTTAAAAACTTGTGACCATATACGAGTGTTTAGAGGAGAAGACCGGAGTCATTTATATGGATGGGGAAGTCGACCAGAGGGAGGATAAAGAAATTTAAAGTAATACCAGCTGTCGCAAAAGTTACAAGACTGAAAAACAGGTAGCAGTAGTAAGTTAGAGGTATTTCACAGTAGAATTTGTTTGAGTTTAAATGAAAATAAGGTATGCTTCAATCTCCAACGATTTTGTACTGCATCGTTTACATTCTCTCTAACTAGCTCAGAATAATGATTAAAGACTTCATTGGTCGGCATTACTGTTTAGTGTAATCACTTACACTTTTTTCTGTTACAGTTTTGTTCATGGCAGTTAATAGCTTCAACACATCCATAAAATCTTGTAATGTAGTCAACAAATTCATTTCCTATGCTTACTTGGGGGTTTCACCATGTCCACACTATGTCTTTTATGCACTACTTGCTTTGTCACTATGTAACTGCTTCGTTAAAATTTGTTCCTTGTACTAATTTACTTATTTGTTTTTTTTCACAAAGGAATTTTATTCGATGGTGTCCTGCCTGGTGAAAATCACTGGTGGAGTTACCTATATGCTATAGTTGTACTTGTACTGTGTATGTCTATACTGCTGATTGGGAGTCAAATGTTCGCTCGAGCCTTATCCTTCATTCTTGCAGTAAGTAGTATATATGACTTATGTATATATTGTTATTATTTTTATTATTCCCTTTGGTTCCGAATGGAACATAGGGCTTCAACAGCACATCTCCATTTCGTCTGCAGTTCTCTGCAGTCGGCTTTGACTGGCTCTACGATCGCCCACCGTCCCTCATCTTCTCCCCATACGATCTCCTCTATGTCATACTCAGATGCTCAGTTCATCATTTCCCACTCAGGTTCCACTCTAGTAGTGGTCTGGCGCGCGATGTCACTTGACTGTCCCTTCAGCGTGTGTCCGTTCCATCTCTATTTTCTTTGGCATATTTGTTGGGTAATAGGTTATTGGTTGGTTCGTTTCCAGATTTCCTTGTAGCTAATCCTTTCCAGCTGCCTATCTGATCTTCAGTATAGAGTGAAGTCAGCTGTTGTTAAACGTCCACAGCCTGTTGGGAATGCTTCTCGTGATGCGTCAAGTCTCTGATCCATATAGAAGAACTGACTTAAAATCGGTGCTGAAAATCTGAATTTCGTTGTTTGTGCTGAGTGCAGACGATTTCCAAATTGAATTCAGAGTGATGAAGGTTTGCCTCGCCTATCCGATTCCGGTTTTGACATCCTTATCCGTGTTGTCGCCTGTAGTTGAGACGATGCTTCCCAGATAAGTGAAGGAAATGACGTCTTTCAAATTCCTCCTGTCGATAGTAATTGGAGCTTCTTGTTGTTGGTTGGTTATCTTCATCACCTCCGTCTTCTCTCTCTATACATATATATAAGAACTATTATTATATTCCTGTGTGGCCCCAGTGGAACATAGGGCTTCAAGCTAGAGCTTTGAAGTTTCGGTAGCAGTGGTGTGTACTTTTACGGGATGCGGTTGCTAGCCTCATGCCCAACCTTCACTCTTTACCAGTCTTATTACTAGCTCAGCGAGGTGAAGGAGTTCGTCGGCTGGGAATTGAACCCCGAACAACATGCGTGGTTGGCGATCATTCTACCGCTGTGTGTATATATATACATATATATAGCTCAAAACCGTATTTTGTTTTCTGATAAACTCAGTGACCATATGAATGCTCTTGTATATTTATGTGTCACAGGTAAAGTGTGACAGAAAATTTGTTCACCACTTCGAAATTCGATCAACGTTAATATTCTTCACTTACCACTGTGCTAAAAGTGCAATAAATACACCGAGTTCTCACTTTTGACGTAGGTATCTAGAGTGTCATTTGAGATGACAGTTATTATTATTATTATTCCATTGCGTTCCAAGTGGAACATAGGGCTTCAACAACACATCTCCACTTTTTTCTATTTTCTGCCGTCCTCTTCAGCCGGGTCCACGTTTGACCAAACTCTCTCATCACTTCCTCACACGATCTCCTCCATGTCACCCTAGGACGACCCACTCGTCGCTTCTTATTTGGATTCCGCTCATGCGATGTAGTTCGGCGGCCTCAATGTATGCCCGATCCATCTCCACTTTCTCTCACATATTTGTTGAGTGATCGGCTCTTATGGTTGGTTTGTTCCCAGAATCTTTTGTTGCTAATTCTTTCTGGTCGGCCATTTGATCTTCAGTATGGAGGCAGCGAAGTGGGCAGCTGTTGATGAAAGCCTGCAACAAAGCCTGTTGGAAATGCTTTTCGTGACACGCCAGGTTTTAAGATGATGACGATAATTCACTGTTATCAATAAGTCGGCTGTGCGTCTGTGGTTCATTGGTAGAAATCTTGCCAACCACGCACGCACTCCTAAATCTTGCCTAACCGGTAGTGTTATCCCGGTAAAGACGGAAGTTCGGGCACGAGGTGGTTAGCAACCACACTCCACCACAACTGAAACTTCGAAGCTGAAGCTTAAAACTCCCTGTATTCCACTCGAAACGCTAAAGGAATGAAAAAAAGCAAGGCAGCTGGCTAGCTAAATGCGGTAAACTGAAGTGTGTGTGTGATGCACAAACGATGATAAATTGTAATCACACCAGCTTAGTGTTGTTGATTTTACAAGAGTAAAACAACAACCAGTGAAAACAACAACAAAAAATAGCACGAAGAAGCTAATGGATATTTTCGTCATTTCAGTAATTCCTTTTCCTTACTGAAATATTTTTACTCTGTCATTTCATATTTCATATGTTTAAGTCAATGTCACTGTGCCCTCTGTATATCTTGCTTACTCTGACAACCCGATGTGAAGTGTAATGCTGCAGCTCTGTGTGCAATAATCAATCAAATGGGCAGCACAGTTATTTTATGATGACTGTTGAAGTCACTTGGCTGACTGACTGACTGACTGTTCATTCAAAGCGGGAGGGGGGGGGGAGGGAATTCAGACTCATGACTTGAGAGCCAAGTTGCTGTCTATATAGTGAAAACATCTTGGACTGATACACAAATTTGTGCTGGGTCAACTTCAGTATTTCAAAATTTCCTTTTAAACCCCATCTAAACTATCTGGCTTTATAAACTCCCTCAACTGTAATAAACGGGAATGTGCGGGCGGGGGGGAGGCGGCGGCGGCAAAGAATAGTAACACGGAGAAACATGACGGTTGAGTGGATATGGGGGAGATTATCAAAGGTAAATGCATCCTCACCACTGAGAACAATTTTGAGTCATATCACCAATAGTCTCCAGCCAATGGTTTTTGGAATCTCGAGGTTCCCGACCAGTCAGTTTACACCTGCCTACATGGCTCAACGATTTCATCGACTGATACCAGGTTTTAGTTTGCCCATCCGTAATTGTTTTCCAACCTAATCCAATGTAGGCTACTATATTGCTTGTCGAGGATGGAGATGGCTCGGAATGCAGAATCCGTGTCCCAGCCGTCTCAATCGGTGTAGCTTCACAACCTCATCGGTCGATTTTCTCTATTCATCAGCTGAAACTTGACACCTAGCCTTGATACTACTCACCCTGATGTACCACCTAACATGGGAGATAGGATGTAGACATTTGTGGTCAACGAAAACGCTTCTGTCTCTCATAAAGTCATAAAGTAGAGGAGAGGGTGAACTCTTGCGCAGAGCACATGTCCTTTAATCGACAGGCAGATATCCTGTCTGCGCCACAGATGATTTGTTGGCAAATGCCAAACAAGCCTTTTATATCTGTCTAAGCTGAGATTTCGTTAGGAATCAGTCCATTGGGGCTGATGAAAGTTCTCACTCAATACGTTCAACCACTTCACTATCTTTCTTTAAACTAGAAGTTGGTGTATCAATAGAATGCAGTATTGTTGTACAAAGTAACTAAAGAAAAATCCTTCAGGAGATTTGCTTGTTTTTAAACAACAGTTCTATTGTGCTATTATGGAATGTGATACTCTTTAATTGGTTTACTTTAAATGTTGTTCAGAACACTAAACTCTCTTTTTTAAAAAATAAAATATACAACACTCTTATTCCCCAAAATAATATGATCAATCAATATCTGTGTATTGTTTGAAACTTCAGCTACAAAGAGAAAGAGAGAGAGAGAGAGTAATCGATTGTTTCTTTAAAAAGTATTATTCATACTATTATTGTTGCTATTATTATTATTATCGTTATACTGTTATTGACAATTCTATTGATCTGCATTGATCACTCACTGAATAAAAAGAAAACAATTTGAAAAATTTAAATAACAGAACTGTGCTTTTAGTAGAGAAGACAAAAAAGAAGTCATCGGACATTTCTTTTAGGTGAATAGAGAAATGCTATTACTCATTATTGTCATTTTCTATTTTCACATAGCTATTTTTATCGTCATCGTGTTTATTCAGTTTACATAAGGTAATATAATATGCTTATTCAGGATTATCTGTAATTGTGCTGTCTGAAGAGATTGCCACCTCAAGTAGAATATACGGCTTCAATCTAGAGCTTTGAATTTCCAGTTGCGTTGGTGGCTTTTTTACAAGGTGGTGGGTGGGGTTGCTGACCTCACATCCAACCCTCCTTCTTTACCGGGTTTTCTACCGGTTATGCGTGATTTTGAAGTGCGTTGTCAGGAAATTGAACCAACCCAGACCACGTGGAATGTTTGAAAGCACTTTACTATCGAACTACCGAAGCATATTTATGTATGTGTTGGTGTATGTTTCGTAAAGGGGTCTAGAACGTAACTTTCGTGTCTCTTCGAACTTGTCAGTTTACATTATCAAGGAGATAATCGTTATGGTGAAGTCTTAGGTTAATGAATTCTGACCTAATAGTGTTGAATAGTAAAGTACTCAGCTTATTAGTTGATAGTTGAGAGTTGCTCCTGAGTTAAGTGAATCATATATTCATGATTGAGCATTGATTAAGAATTGTAAGGTAGAATACAGTAGCTTTGTAGTACACTCCAATGATAGCTCCTTCATTAAATGATGCATTTTAATAGTCAAATCTTCTACTGATGTAAAAACACAAGGCTTATCTAAAACTATACTTTCGTATAGTGTCTAAGTTGTACACATGTCCTTTAAATTTTAAGAGTGACACAGCTTTAAAATATGATTTGTTTTAGTAATAAAAACTGATTTATAGAAACAGTTGGGAGAATTCTCTGTTGTTTGGAGGGAAACAAATTGTCTGGGCAGCAGCTGGATGTGGCAGACCACTCAGTGAAGCGCTGGATTGATAATTCTGAGGTTTTACAATTAATAGTGTTCTCTGAGCTGGTTGGTTTAGTTGCGGAGCTCTCGTCGTCCTTCTGGACAACATCTTCAGCGCCATATTTAGCACAAAGTGAAATGATTTAAATTTCTTCATGAGTGATATAATTGCGTTTCCCGGTAACCATCTTTACATATGTATTGACCATTTTCTATTGACTTGGATTTTAAACTTTCTGGTCACCTGATTTACTTTTTATTAGTTGGTATATTTCGCCTGTATTAACGTGTTTCTTAATTGCATTTTCGTTTGAGTACCAGGCTTCTAGGAATTCCTCTGTCTAAGATTTTGACATTATCCCAATCAAATTGATGTCCATAATTGTCTACATACATTGATACTAAAGAATATATATCGTGTCTTTTCAC